CAGGACTTATATTAGTCAACTAATTTTTTCTTTTTAAAGTCAGAAAACCTTAATCAAAAAAAAAAGTGAAAAATACCCTTTTTTTTGCACAAGCGGACTTCCAGCAGCTATAGGAGAGTACCAATGTCCTGATGTAACGCTGATATTTGGGCAGATAGTTTTATCTGTCCAGGTTTGTGAATTAACATTCAGCAGCTTGCAGCTTCTTAAGCGGAGCTGTGAGTCAGAAACGGAGGAGATACAATCCAAATAAATAAAGTAACTCTGCTGTAAGTAAGTTATTCTTGTCCAGCCATGAAATCCCTCACAGAATGAAAACAGGAGAAATGTGGACGATGTGTGGCGTGTTCTGATAAAACTGACAGACAGACAGACAGAGACACTCCATCTGAGTAAACTTTTCCAGAGAGATGTGATATATGATTAATTAATAATCGATTAGTGTATTGACAGAAAATGCAACTATTTTAAAAATTGAATTGTTCCCAATTTTGGCATTTTAGAAAGAAGTTGATAAACCTGTAGTTTTTACACACCGAGGTGTGTGTAACCCAGCCTGAGATAGTGAGGGCCAAGAGCTCCAGCTATAGCTCCCTCACTATTGTTAAACAACAACAACAACAACAACAACAACAACCAACAGTTCTTGACTCTTCCAGGTGTTCATAACGAGTTTCAGTTGGCGCGCGGGTGTGCAAAAAGTGAGACTGCTTGGCTTGGATGGTAGTGATAGGCGACTGTTGACCAGCAATCTTTACGCACGTTACGGAGAGACAGTGGCTGGGTGATTATTGTTTTTTCATATTTTTTATGTGTCATTAAAACTGTAATAAGAGACTCATTATTTTAGGCAAATATGAGTAGATTGATTGCTGTTTTCCACTGATGAAAAACTGTATTTGGACAGGGTTTTACCAGATGTACCAATGCTTATACACTGATAAACAACATTTATTCAACGTATTTGTTGTGAAAACCTCCATAATTATACAACATATCTGTAAATTAACAAACAAATCTAAATTTACTGACTACTTGATTTCCCGACAGGCCAGTTCTCAGAACCGGCACACCTCAGGTTTCTATTCCAGTCCCCGATTGTACACGTTTACACATGACCGCGTCTCCAAATATGACAACGGCAGCATCATAAAGTGATTGGATTGATAGGTGACAGTGATGAGAGGGCCGATGAGCTGAGTGGAAGATCTAACCATATGGTGTAGGGATGGAGGGAGAAAGCATCATTTTCCCAGGTTTCATCTACAACCCAATCACTGATCTCTGATGATTACGTTCAGTTGTGTTTCCCCCAACAGGCAGCAACAACATCTGTATCAGCTCAGACTGACCTCTGACCTTACAGAGCCCCAATACATACGACTCTTTATACATATTCTGTATACAATACTTTACAGTACAAATACAGCTATTTATTTCTCTGCGCTGATGACTCAGCCCATCACTCATCCATTCATCAGAGGTGAGAAAAACGTCTCTATTTATTCCCATTTAGAGCTAAATTGTAGTTCTGAGTTCAGCAGGCGACAATAACACATTTTTTCTGTCTCTTTGCAGGAAACAAACTGGCTGCTTTGCTTTTAAGCGGCAGCTCCGGTTTTCAATTTCACCAACTGTGACAACATTCAGTGAAATCATTTATTGCCCCTGGAGCTTATGAAAGTTAAGACCTTGTATTAGACACACGCTCAGCCAACAGCACGTCTGCCAGGAACAAATCATTTCAGATTGAATAATTTCTTTAAGGTATTTAAAGACTGTAATCATGCTGCCATTTCCCTTGAAACATTAAATCTGCTCTTCTCTCACCCTGCTGTTAGTGTTGATGGAACAAAAAGTACAGCAACATTTTACAGTTATGTTAGGAATGCTCGAGCTATTTATGAACGCTATACAGTCGCTGCAGTGTCTCACTGTCAAAATAAATTGATTTTTATTGTATTTTTACCCTTTCTCCACTCTGCACTACATTTCCCCATGCTGCTGGGCCAAATGTGACTTTCTCCTACAGGGGATCAATAAAGGAACATCTCTTATATTGAAGGCAAATTAATTGCTTTTTTTTTCTTCTTTCTGAATCTTGTCAAATGTTAATTATTTTTTTCTAGTAAGGTTAAAGCCAAATAAACATTTTGCATAAGAATTTAAAATCCATTAATATTAATAGATAATTTATCTGATGTAATTTAATTATGTGGAGAATGCATAAAAATGGAAATTTCCCATCATCAACCGATAATTTATCTGTCCTAATAATTATCGTGCATTCCTATTTACTCTAATGTAAGAGCAACAACATTAGCAAAACCTTATATCTGAGCGTTTCCTGGAAAAATGATTCAATGATTAATCAGTTATTAAAACAGCAGCTGATTCATTTTATGAGAACTCTTCCCACTGCGTTAAAATGAGGAATGTTGA